TGTGCCCCAGTTTCTTCAAAACCTTCAACACATTCTAGAGAGAGTCCACCTCTTTGCCCATGATAATCTATTGAAAGCCCAGGTGAGAATGAAGACTCATTACGACCAGACCAGCAAAGTAAGAAAATTCAAGCCGGGAGACTTCGTCCTTGCTTATTTCCCTATCCCAGGTTCACCTTTACAAAACAGATTTTCAGGACCCTACTGCGTCAAAGAGTGCAGGAATAATAATAATTATGTGATAGAGACTCCAGATAGGCGGCGGAAGACCCAGCTGTGCCACGTCAACCTCCTGAAGCAATATAATGGTACTCCTCCCACTGTCTTGACTAACTATTCCACATTCACAGAACCCTACATCCACAGTGAGACCTTCCCAGCTTCTCCTCCCGAAAGCACTGACAAGGAGTCAGCGCTTTCTAATTCCGAAATCCTTAATAATCTTCCCAAATACTTTCAGGATAATCATAGTGCACCTCTCGTCAAGATCTTCAGAGAACATAAAGAGTTGTTCAGAGATGATCCCCAAGAGTGTAATGTTACCCAGCACGACATCCAACTGCTCCCCGACACCCGGCCGATTCGTCAACCCTTCTACCGAATCAGCCCGAGCAAGAAGGAAGTCATGCGTGCTGAGGTGCAGTACCTCTTGGACCATGGACTGGCTACACCTTGTGAGTCCCCCTGGGCCTCACCTTGTATCTTGGTGCCCAAACCCCAAGGTAAGGTGCGGTTGTGCACTGACTATCGAAAACTGAACTCTGTCACTGTCAAGGATGCTTACCCCTTGCCAAGGATAGATGACATCCTTGATGCCATTGGTAGTGCCCAGTACTTGTCCCAAGTGGACTTGCTTAAGGGGTACTATCAAGTGTGTCTTACGGAGCGCGCTAAAGAGATATCTGCCTTCATCACTCCTTTTGGACTTTTCAGATATGAACGCCTTCCTTTCGGACTATGTAATGCCCCGGCCACCTTTCAAAGAGCTGTCAACCGTGTCATCCAGGGCTTGGATAACACATACGCCTACCTGGACGATATCGTCGTAGCCTCCAACTCCTGGAGTGAACATCTGCTCCAGCTGCGACGTCTGTTCTCCAAGCTCCTGACAGCCGGCCTCACCATCAACCTGGGCAAGTCCACTTTCGCGAAAGGTAAAGTGCGTTATCTGGGTCATGTTATTGGGAGTGGCAGCATAGCTCCGTTAGACTCGCACACGCAAGCCATCCAACAGTATCCACAGCCTACCACCAGGAAGCAGCTCCTGCGCTTCCTTGGTCTTGCCTCTTACTACCGTAGGTTTGTGAGGAATTTCAGTACAGTCGCCACACCTCTAATTCTATTAACCAGTCCCAAGCAACGGTATAATTGGACCATGCAGCAAACCGTTGCTTTTGAACAACTCAAATTCCTCCTCTGTTCTAACCCCATTCTCGCCTCTCCAGATATCACCAAGCCTTTCGTCCTTCATGTCGACGCCAGTGGTACCGGCGTTGGTGGTGTCCTGATGCAACTACGAGGCGAGGAGGTTCTACCTGTCAGCTACTACAGCTACAAACTGAAACCACACCAGAGGAACTACAGCACTATTGAAAAGGAGCTACTATCCATCGTCCTGAACCTCCAACACTTCGCTCCGTACCTACAAGGCGCCAGGTCTACCACCATCTTCTCAGACCACAACCCTCTCCGCTTCCTACATCAAGCCCAATTCACCAACCAGCGTCTTCTACGATGGGCTCTGTATTTACAAGACTTCAACCTGGAGATCCGCTATATCAAGGGTTCTGACAACACCATAGCCGATGCCCTCTCCAGAGTTTATGAAGTAGAAGCGACTCCATCCATTACTCCACCACATAACGACGTACTTCTTCCAGAACCGCAGGCTTTGGGGGAGAGTTGTGACGATAATCTCCTTCAAGAGATTGAGCCTGCTCTTCCCTCCATAATTACGTCGTCGAAATTATATAAAACGACTATGGAAGACATGTCCAACAATGGCAACAACACCAGCAAGGCTTGCCAGGGTGAGCAAAACGTATGCAGCCAGCCACCTGTTCGGACCCAAACCACCAAACTACATGTTGATCGCTGCCGGCTGCGCTGATTGGTCGCCGGTCTGGCTGCACCTGCACTCGCCCCCCATACTACCTGATGTCTGGGGTCGCCCCAACATCAGTCCTCAGAATGTTCAGTGCTTTCGTGGCCATCACACCTCCCAGCTAGACTCTAGCGTGTACTGAGAGAGGTGGTGGCTTTAAGCCAATATTCCAGCACCTCCCACTTAACTTTTGTATTGCACTTCTTGTTATTTTGCCTTAACGTAACTTTTCATTGTGTCATTTAAGTATTCTTATTATTTTGATTGATTGATTTTATTATAAGAATTTGTTTGTGCATTTTATTCATGTTTTGATTTATTTAACGTAATTAAAATTTCATTGTTAAAGTTTACTTGTGTTTTGTGTGTCTTCTCCTTACCTTACCACAGACGAAGTTCCAGTTTTTTCTATTTTTTTTATAACTATGTGACGAGGCCATACCCCTAGCCTTAAACAGCCGAACACCAACGCGTTACCGTCACACTCCAAAATAATCTTTCCTGCCTCTACTCTACACAGACGCCGTCTTGTAGAATCGGCTCTTATTAACAATGTACCCAACATGAACTTGAGTCCTGGCTTTGTTGCTGTGGACTCTTCCCTTTCACAGTATATACTCAAATGCTCTAATCTTTCTAACAAACGTGACTTAACATAAGCTTTCCCCCTTCCATTTCTTTCTTTCTCTTTCCCTTTCTCTCTTCTCCCTTTTTCTGTTCATTGTCTTCTCCTACGCTCCCTTGCTATCCTCTTCTTTTTCCTATTACTTCTCCTTCGGTGGTTATAATAGGAGCTGCCTCGTATGGGCCAATAGGCCTGCTGCAGTTTCCATTACTACTATCCCCTACACCTGACTTTCCTCCTCAGCTCTCTCTTGCCTATTTATTGCCTGTCCCTACCTCCTCATCACAATCAACTTGAGAATGGTCCAGGACGGACCGAAACGTCGTCGTCCCTTCAATTTCTAGTGTGTGGTCTGGTCAACATACTTCAGCCACGTTATTGTGACTCATCGCCTGCATGAGGGCAGTGATCAGAGGCAATGTATCGGAATGGAGAAATGTCACAAGTGGAGTACCACAGAGTTCAGTTCTTGCACCAGTGATGTTTATTGTGTACATAAATGATCTACCAGATGGTATACAGAATTACACAGCCTGTCATAAGGTTTCCCAACGTCAAGAAACTGTCGTACTAAAGTGCCCCTATCCAAACCTACCAGAGGACCCAAAACAGAAAATGGGACAGTGTGTCAATTTCGTGAGCCTCTATCTTATTCTAGTACGATGATTTTTGGCCTTAGGTAGAGTATATTTCAAAATGTAACACTCTATTAGGAGGACGAGTGGCAGAACGTTTACGCTCATTAACAAATCCACAAGGGCTGTGACGAGGATTCGAACCTGCATCCGAGAGCTTCCCAGACGCTGCCTTAATCGACTGAGCTACGACATGCCGAGTTAAGGCAGCGTCTGGGATGCTCTCGGACGCAGGTTCGAATCCTCGTCACGGCCCTTGTGGACTTGTTCGTATGATGCATCACGCAATTGTGATTTCTGTGTGTTTACGCTCGTGTTGTGACACACAGCGAGAGGTGTATTATTTCTATATAGTGTTAAGAGCAAAGGGGGTTTGTTTTGTCAGCTGAAACTTTCATGGCAGTTCCCTTGGTGTTGGGTTGATGTTTGAGCCATGTTACCTCTACCATTTTGAGAGAGAGCCAGATGTGGCTCCTAGGTCTGGGTAGTCTACTCAGACTACCCAGACTCAGTAGGCCAGTAGACCCCGTGTAGGTACTCGGTAGGCCGATAGGCCCCATGTAGGTACTCGGTAGGCCGGTAGGCCCCATGTAGGTACTCGGTAGGCCGGTAGGCCCCATGTAGGTACTCGGTAGGCTGGTAGGCCCCGTGTAGGTACTCGGTAGGCCGGTAGGCCCCATGTAGGTACTCGGTAGGCCGGTAGGCCCCATGTAGGTACTCGGTAGGCCGGTAGGCCCCATGTAGGTACTCGGTAGGCCGGTAGGCCCCATGTAGGTACTCGGTAGGCTGGTAGGCCCCATGTAGGTACTCGGTAGGCCGGTAGGCCCCGTGTAGGTACTCGGTAGGCCCTGTGTAGGTACTCGGTAGGCCCCGTGTAGGTACTCGGTAGGCCGGTAGGCCCCGTGTAGGTACTCGGTAGGCTGGTAGGCCCCGTGTAGGTACTCGGTAGGCTGGTAGGCCCCATGTAGGTACTCGGTAGGCTGGTAGGCCCCATGTAGGTACTCGGTAGGCCGGTAGGCCCCATGTAGGTACTCGGTAGGCTGGTAGGCCCCGTGTAGGTACTCGGTAGGCCGGTAGGCCCCATGTAGGTACTCGGTAGGCCGGTAGGCCCCATGTAGGTACTCGGTAGGCCGGTAGGCCCCATGTAGGTACTCGGTAGGCCGGTAGGCCCCGTGTAGGTACTTGGTAGGCTGGTAGGCCCCATGTAGGTACTCGGTAGGCCGGTAGGCCCCATGTAGGTACTCGGTAGGCCGGTAGGCCCCATGTAGGTACTCGGTAGGCCAGTAGGCCCCATGTAGGTACTCGGTAGGCCAGTAGGCCCCGTGTAGGTACTCGGTAGGCCGGTAGATACTCGGTAGGCCCCATGAGACCATAAGTCTCATGAGGCCCAGTATGATTTAGATGCCTTAGGGTACTAGTGGCTGAAGCTCTGGAAAGCTATTGAGTGCCGGCACAGACGGTGCCATTTCGTGACACTTTATGCTCTAGTTTTATTGAATAGATTGTGCTCTTTAAAAATGAAAAATGTAATATGAAATATTATTAAGAGTTTACCACATTTTTATTAAGTATTATTTTGCATTAATCTATTACAATAAAAAATTAAACGTGTATCTGACCTCATTTATATTTTCAGGTATTAATTCTTGGCATGACTACCAATGAAAGAATGAACTGCTACCGATACAAGCATTTCCAGGTATGTGTTGGCAGAGCTTGTGTACGATTCTCCTGTTCTTGAGGTGTTCATAGAGGGGGGGGGGGGTAAGAGTAACATTTCCCTGTTCTTGAGGTGTTCATATAGGGGGGGGGGGGTAGAGTAACATTTCCCTGTTCTTGAGGTGTTCATATAGGGGGGGGGTAGAGTAACATTTCCCTGTTCTTGAGGTGTTCATATAGGGGGGGGGGTAGAGTAACATTTCCCTGTTCTTGAGGTGTTCATATAGGGGGGGGGGTAGAGTAACATTTCCCTGTTCTTGAGGTGTTCATATAGGGGGGGGGGTAGAGTAACATTTCCCTGTTCTTGAGGTGTTCATAGAGGGGGGGGGGGTAGAGTAACATTTCCCTGTTCTTGAGCTGTTCATATAGGGGGGGGTAGAGTAACATTTCCCTGTTCTTGAGGTGTTCATAGAGGGGGGGGGGGTAGAGTAACATTTCCCTGTTCTTGAGGTGTTCATATAGGGGGGGGGGTAGAGTAACATTTCCCTGTTCTTGAGGTGTTCATAGAGGGGGGGGGGGTAGAGTAACATTTCCCTGTTCTTGAGCTGTTCATATAGGCATTAAAGTAACATTTCCCTGTTCTTGAGGTGTTCATATAGGCATTAAAGTAACATTTCCCTGTTCTTGAGGTGTTCATATAGGCATTAAAGTAACATTTCCTTGTTCTTGAGGTGTTCATATAGGCATTAAAGTAACATTTCCTTGTTCTTGAGGTGTTCATAGAGGGGGTAAGGCTTGTGTGTGTGTGTGTGATGAGATATATAGCTGCCACACACAGCACCTATACGCTTCAGGTATCACTCTTTATGCATCTGAAGTGGAATTGCACGTTAACAAATCTTTCTTCCATTTAAAGACAAAATCTAAAAAATTTCTTTAGGTGCTTGCACCAAAGAATGAATATTGTATATGAAGACTGATTGTGCCAACAAACATAAAGACTAAGGAAGGGTGGAGGAAGGAAGGGAGAGAAGGAGGGAGAGAAGGAGGGAGAGAGGGAGGCAAGAAGTAATGGCAGAACTATTAAATGGGGAGAAACAGGGCCTAAGAAAAGGAAATTGGTACCTTTTGAGAGACGGCCTGTATTTGATGTTGCGCAACATTCCACCTTTCATTGGGGAGCCGGTCGGCCGAGTGGACAGCACGCTGGACTTTTGATCCTGTGGTCCCGGGTTCGATCCCGGGTGCCGGCGAGAAACAATGGGCAGAGTTTCTTTCACCCTATGCCCCTGTTACCTAGCAGTAAAACAGGTACCTGGGTGTTAGTCAGCTGTCACAGGCCGCTTCCTGGGGGTGGAGGCCTGGTCGAGGACCGGGCCGCGGGGACACTAAAAAAAGCCCCGAAATCTTCTCAAGATAACCTCAAGATAACCAATTGACCAGCCGTCGAACGTTTGTGATGTATGAAAATGTAAGTAATTAAAAATGACTTCTGGTTGTCTGATCTCAGGCTGGGCTGCAAGAGTAGAATTGTGCCTTTCCATGTGGGGCTTAGTGTTAATGGTTCACCTCAGGGTTTCCCAGAGACCAACAACCGACCTTCCCCGGGATGGAACCCACAACAGTTGGCTAACTCCTTGGTAACTACTGTTCTGGTGAACAATGGTGAAAGAATGCATGCTCAACTATCTCTATCCCACCTGAGAATTGAACCTGGAGTCTCCTTACTTTACTGCAACCGTGGACATCTTCAGGAGAAAACTGGACTGTTTTCTAAGAGAAGTTCTGGATCAGCCGGGCTGTGGTGGGTATGTGGGCCTGCGGGCCGCTCCAAGCAACAGCCTGGTGGACCAAACTCTCACAAGTCGAGCCTGGCCTCGGGCCGGGCTTGGGCAGTAGAAGAACTTCCAGAACCCCATCAAGCAGGTGTATATAAAATCCATTATTTTCATTAGCTAACCCTCTTCCTCCCTTAAAAACCAGCATTAAATGTAATGAAACTTCTTTCTGGATGATCCTCGGTGGTTCCCTGAAGCTATCTCACCGAGATGGCTTCCAACTACTAGGTCACATCAATTGTTCTGTTTGGCCTACCAGGGACCATAGCTAGAACCTGGCTTCCCCCTCACAGAGGCTTAGAGAGTGGGTGACACTCTGGCACCCCACCCAGACCTGTGAAACATAAGACTTGGAACAGGGAACTGAGGAAGAATGATCAATCCACAAAGTGTCCACTGAAGCAGAATCAGTGGCACAAAGGTAGCAATGAAGACCCTCCACTGGGCACAGCACATGATGCACCCTGAGTCAAACCAACCAAAGCATCAACAACCAAAGAACCCCTCCGAAAGCCATTCTACTTCTCACCAGACAAGGAGGAGACGACTGCAAACGAACATAATGCCTCCAGAAAAGAGCATGTAGCTCCCTGATCCTATAACAAGAGGCAAGCACAAACAGGAAAAATGCCTTAGAAAATCAATCTCGGACTAAAAGGGAAACTGTAAAGTGAGGAGGAGAAGGAAACCCGGTGACATAGACAAGAGACGAGGAGTGCTCAGGGAGTGCATGAGCAGTCTGGCAGTGAAACAATTGAGTGTGACAGCTTCAGAAACGACGCCAAGGTAGTATCGATGCAGAACACAAGCAGTAGTGGCTCTGCCATCTAAAGATAAGAGGCAACAGTATTGAGCATAGGACCTATTAGGCATAAGATGTCAGTCGAGAAACAAACAAGAGGGGGGTATGAATGGACAACACCAACAGAGATAGAAGAATGATGACAAACCTGCCCAGTCTCCAATACAGCCTTTTCCCTAGGTTCCCTGTTCCAGGGCTCGTGTGTCTAGTGAGCCTGTGGTATACCCTCATGCCCATGATGTTAGGAACTATTCTGCATTTACAGCATGTTTTGGCAACATGTCTTGGGTCGACATTCGGGCGCAGGGGTTTTGGAGGTCGAACAGGGTCCTGGCCACCAGGTGCCACGTAAACGTTCCATTTCCTTCCCGGCCTTGTATGGCCTTGGGTTGCCTGTCGCGGCCATCTGTTTCTTCCTCATCTTCAGACCTGTGGTGCTGCTGCGTCCCGGGTAAGTCCTTGTTTTTCCTTCTCCACGTGTAGTTAGCTTCAGGGAGCCGAGGGGGCTCCCCACAGGAAACCAGCATTGAATGTGATGAAATGCTATTTTCTGAGTGAGCCCTGGAGGCTGTCTGACACCCCTTCCCCCTTCCGGTCAGCGGTTTTCATCACTGGTGTGGTGGGCTGCTGGCTCTGGTGAACCGGCTTCCCTATTTCCCCTAAAGGAAAAAGAGGGTAGCGCTAACGAGTGAGAGGGCTACTTGCGTTAAGTGATGCTTGTTTGGTTTCTTTCTAGCGGGAGTTATTTTGATCTTTTAGGATGTAGATTGCACAGGTTAACACAGGTAGTGGTCTGTTTTGATTCACCTACCTTTCTGTATGCCTTTCCCAGTCAACGGCAATTATGACACTTTAAATGTAAAGTGCTGATACGCCATTGCTCCCTGCGCCTCTCTGAGGGGGCCAGGTTCTGGGTCATGGTCCCCGGTAGGCATAAGGACTCCTGTGACTGATGACTCTGTGACTGATGACCCCAAACTAATATAGCACACATCAGTTCAGATAGCTTCAGGGAGCCTCCGAGGCTCACCCAGAAAATGGCGTTTCATTACATTCAACGCTGGTATGTTAGTTTACGAAGCTACCATGTGTATGCAGGATTTTCATTAAAGCTGCTCCAACTTGGAGTACCATCCATGAGTATTGTAAAGAAACATCAGTATATCTGGTTATAGGATTAGAAAGGTACATATTCCATGTTTCATGTTTATTCTAAAATCTGTTTGATTTAAAAAATGAAATAAAATTTGTATTCCCTTAGGGAATACCCTTAGTTTGGGAGCCGGTCAGCCGAGCGGACAGCACGCTGGACTTTTGATCATGTGGTCTTGGGTTCGATCCCAGGCGCCGGCGAGAAACAATGGGCAGAGTTTCTTTCACCCTATGCCCCTGTTACCTAGCAGTAAAATAGGTACCTGGGTGTTAGTCAGCTGTCACGGGCTGCTTCCTGGGGATGGAGGCCTGGTCGAGGACCGGGCCGCGGGGACACTTAAAAAAAAGCCCCGAAATCATCTCAAGATAACCTCAAGATAACCTCCCTGGATGTAAAGTATGGGTGTCTGTTAGATCATGTTGATGACCCCTTTTAAATTTTAAAGGGAGAAATTTAGTTTTCTGCGGGGAGCCCCTTAGTCTCCTCGGAGCTATCCAGGCTGACATCGACATGTTAAACTGTAGCATCAGTCATTGTGAATGGAGTTCTAGGCCTACCGATGACCGCGAGCCAGAACCTGGCCCCCTCAGAGAGGTACGAGGAACAATGGCCTATAGAAATGCACATGTGGTTATGGAGCATTCTATCGAGTCAGGCATCCCAGAAAGGATGCCATCGACCGGGTCAGGCACCCAGAAAGGTAAGCATCCCAAAACCAGCCCCTATTCTGGGTAAAACTACTTCAGTACTGAAAGTGAAACGAGTGGACAGAACTCCCCAAATAAAAATGAGCATGACGTCACCATTTGCTGCGCCACCATCTGCGCAGCTCCCCTCTTCCCAGGACGGAGAAGGGGGAAGCCCCAGACCCCTGCACTGGCAATCCACACTCCCCAGTTCTTCGGCTGATGTGAATGGCATTGGTCGTTGTGGCTCTAGCTCCTGACTTCTGTGCCTTGTGGTGTGGCCACGTCTTCTCTGGTGGTGTGTGAGCCAGGAGTAATCTCCCAAGTACTTGAGCTGCAAGCGCATAGGGTCACCTTCCCTAGGTGCTCTGTAAGTACTGCTCTAGGGGCTTGGGGTTATCTTCCACAAGTCACCGTAGGGTCTACCTCTGTTGGTCCTTTGCTGCTTGGTAATTGGCCGCCTTGAGTGTACTGGGGGGTTTCCTCCTCTTGTTTACCTTAGAGTAAGAGGTAGTTTGCACTGGTAGGGGCGCGGGGTACTGCACAGCTAGTTGTCACCTG